GGCCGAATGTTAATTAGATTCAAATATGCAGATAGGAAAAAGAAGAGTTTCTGTTCGCATTGATAACTACTTGTGAATGATCTGTAACATTTTTCCCAGTTGGTATTTTTTGATTTTTTTTTTTTTTTTTAGTCAGTAAAGCATAGTTTCATATTTAAAGGACTTGTATCAAGAAATTGAACTTTGAACTTGCACTTTTCCGTTCCAGTTCATCTTTAAAACGCTGGGCTGGAAATAGGGTGTTCAAGAGCTAGTTCAGGAGTAGGCCTTATGTGCCTCAAAGGCAGTGACATATCTATCTATCTATTTATCTATATCAATATCAGATGGAAGGGTGGATAAGAGGATTGTAGCACGTATCGCCTGATAGGTTTCAGCATCCAATTTTAATCTGCTGTTAAAAGTCTGCCAGAGTCCTAACTAAGAGACATAAGGTATTATTAGTGGTGCTGAAGTAAAATGTTACAGCAACTAGTTTTATACTGCTTCGTGTTTATTTAAAATAGTTATCCCCTGAATGACCGCTACACTTCTATTGAGATGCTTTCACCATTAGATTCTTAGATGTTTACAAAGCCTCAAGTATTTCTTCTAGACACGCTATTTTTGGTGATGGCTGAATTCACTCATTGCTCTCTTCTTCAAGAGGATTTTTTAGCTCACGATATTTCCCTATCATAATTTACTAAAAAGCATGAAGTAGACTTAAGAATATGTAAGAACACAGAAGGCCGTGTTAGGAAACGAAGGAAAACCATAAGATACTAACTTGAGGGAATGGATTCTGAACTGAAGCGGGAACTTCAGCAGAGAGCTAACCTCTTAACGGAGAAATTTTGGCAGTAATTTCAGGATATTTTTCTTGTGTTACACGGTTACGTCCGGAGTGCTGGCCGGATTTCTCATAATGTAAAGGAGAGACTTGTTTATAGTGGTTACGTGACATATCGCTTAAGTACCAATTGGAAGAAGCATTTTAAAAGAAGATGATAGGCTTGCAAAAAATGAAGGTTTGGTTATATCCAGAAATAAACTCGGATGTTTAGCAACTACACCCATTATGGCAGTCGTACTCAGAGGTCAGATCTGTCTGAAAAAAATCATAGAACAGTGGTACATACTTGATCTGATGTACAGTCTCCTAAAGAAAAGAAAGACTGGCCAACAGCCAAGCGGGAGTGAATGCAGATGTTGTTCTAAAGGATTTATTGCATGTTGCTGACAACACATGACTGAGATAAGCGGGTTTTGTAGGCTTCCTGGAATGTCGTAACAAGTTTGAAGGAAATGTAAATGAATGTGACACTCGAGGTCTTACAACATAAACCTTCTGTGACTAGTTATAAGAAGTTGATATACTCTAGTCCTGAGGGAAAAGTAAATTGCAAATTTTTCCATACTAAATATGATTTTACTGTTAATAGCATGAATTGCATGAATAGAATACACTAGAAACACTTGGGAAATGTTCATTATTATCATCATAGATCCTGAACCACATTGGGGCGGAGGGGAGGGGAACGGGAATGACACTTGTTTGTTAACCGAGTACATTTTAACACAAAATCAGAGATCACCAAATAAAGTATAACTTTTTTTTTCAAAGTCTCTTCAGGGCTGTCGCTTAAAAAATATTCAACTTTGCATCATGTCTTTGCTTTAGAATTGATTTTTATCTTAACATGAAAGGTAATAGCAAAATGTGTGTTCTTTGATACTAAGGCGTTAAGACCTATTTTCAAAGCAGTCACAGGAAGCCTTTTCCGTCACTTCAAACCTTCCTAAGTTTTTGGTGACAGCAAAGAACACGTGAGTCCACGTGAGGCAACATTTATGGCTAATTCAGTAAGCGTTACGTGCAGTCAAATACTCCTTTTAATTAGGAATTTATTAAGCTGTATAACTTAAGGAGCCTAAGTTTTGAATGTCTTGGCCTGAGTATCTGTTTCCTTTGAAGATGACAGATTCCATTAAATCCAAGACCATCACTGTTCCTTAAAAGGAGAGTTGGAATATGGTAGTGTTGGAAGTCAGTGTCTCAAAAGCCTGTAGTATACTAAATCAATTGTGACCAAATATATTCCCGGGCTATTTAAGAACTCTACGGCCAGGCACCAAGCTGTGTGAAATAAGTGCGCGTATTCCAATGGCATGAGACTGCGTTTCTGCTCACATGGCTGGACGTGTGCCCGTTGAGAAATTCAGGTGTTCCTCTGTTAGAGATGCACATCAAATCAGTTACTGAAAAGTATGCAGTCATGGGAGCCACTGAAATACTAATAATGTATATATGCGCTATTAGTATAGTCTCGATTGTGAATCATTTCTGTACTTCTGTGTTGATCATGTGATTGAACCCTACTTTGGGCCTTAAGCTGGGGATAGTACTGCAGGAAGTACTGGGTGGACCCCCTCCCCCCAGTAATATTGATCTGTTCTTGAGTCTTCACCCTGCCCATGTCTGAGGAGTCCTTGGCAAGGAATGTGTTACAGGTTGGAAAAAGACTGGAAGAAGCAGCAGGGCAAGCAGGAGGTAAGAATTTCGTCCTGACAGACTGGCTCCAGTCTGCAGGCTTGCTACTTTCACACTGAGTAACAGGAATAAACATAACAAACTAAAGCCTGTATAGAAAATCCTGATAGTTTACCAGATTTGTAAACAACATTTTTTTTTTCTTTTTCTTTCTTTCCTTACAGGAAATATTGGATAGCTCCCACAATGGACGACGGGAAGCCTGTTTGGGCTCCGCACCCAACTGAGGGGTTTCAGATGGGGATGATTGTGGACATTGGCACTGACAACTTAACTATCGAACCTTTGAATCAAAAAGGCAAGGTAAGTGCCTTAAGGGAGAAAAACCTTACAAAAACATATTTTACCAATTTGCAGGCTGAAAGTATAGAAAACAAGGTCTGGTTTCTGTTCTAAGTTTTATTTGGCTCAGGAACTTCATTTTGCTTTGGCTTATTTTCAAGTGCTAATTTTCAGGTTTTCTTCCTCTGGGAAGAAGTGCGTGCTTTCTGTCCGTTTACCTGCATGTGTGTATCTGCTTGTGAGTGATTGAATCTTGACAGTCATTTGAGTCTGTGCTGTACACTTTACCTTTCTCAGTTTGAGCCTGGTTAAGAATCTGCTGCTGAGATTAGCCCCTTTCTTTTCGCTTAGATGCATACATACAGTACTAATGGTCAGAAATCAGTGATGAATTACAAACAGGAATTTTGTTCGTACTATTAAATGTCAGATGACGCATTTCAGTAGACTTTGGCAGAATTCATTAGAAGTCTGAAAAGAAAAAGCTCTTGCAGATACGCTGTGAGAGAACTGATAATTGAAGGAAAAAGGTATATGTGAAGAAATAAAGTTTTAGAGGTATTTATCAACCATAGTTCCTTATAACTGATATGCAGTCAGTGTTAGCCTCAGCTCCACCTGAACAACCTGAATATGAGGTGCCTTGTTGAAGATAGGTGCCTATAGGCAGTGAAGGAAATTGCCAAAAGACCATCCTTTCTACCCATTGCAGATAGAGGGATTTTCATGATGGGATGAACCACCTTCTGAAGTGCCTTTGTTGAACCACCTTCTGAAGTGCCTTTGTTGCTCTCCAGTGGCTACAAGAGCGTCCTAGACTAGCTATTAGACACCTGCCTTTTAGACTGCTAAAGTCTGAGGTGAATCCTCTGCTCTCAGGTATCTTGAAAAGTCACAGAATCTCAAACAAAGGTCCTATGGAATTGCTACATCGAATTAAAGACTAAGTCAATGCAACATGTAAAATGGAGTCCTAATCCATCCTAATTAATGTGTTCAAACTGCCTCATCTCTCATGGCATCTTTCATATTCAGTATATCTTAAACATCAGTTTGCTACAGGAAGTGCCATGTACCTATCAATTACCCTAATTCGGAGGTGAAGTAGTCTTGTTTTTTACTAGCTGGAATAAGGTTAAGCACTGTGGTTAAAAAGCTATTGCTTTTGTTGTTTGTAAATAGTCTTTAAAATACATGCTGTTTCTAATAGTTTTATCCTTCATGCAACTTCAGTTATTGGTAACTTCTTTTTCATGTTGGTAATAATAGAGAATGCCTTGTCACAGGTCAAAAGGTTATGAAGCAGTTCTTCCTTTTTTTGGAGACTATTTATAAGCCCTTTTTAATTTTAATCTTGAATAGGATGTTGATTTTTTTTCTCCTTAGAAATACAAAGTAAGCATAATATCTGATACTTTTTTTGTGATAAGATTTGTAGATTTAGTACTATTATGCATTCTTCAGTTTGGAGAGGAACAAAAGCATTCAAAGAAGAGTGTATTAAATATTAGGAGGCTGCGTTTAAGTAGTCTTCAACTGACTTAAGTGACCTAAGCTTCTGTATCCTCCTTTGGCACTCTGCAGAGGTATATCAGGGGAATTACTGCTATATTGGTTTCTTTTATTTATTTTTTTCCTATATACTCCAGTGACTGGTATACTCTGAACCTGAAGTTACTGATTTTCATCACCTACTCCCATTTCTGTTATATCCCCAAATGGCTCTCAAGTGATAAAGAGCAGAAGTACACATATTGAAGAACAAACAGGCAATAAGGAGACTCTTGAGTCACTGTCTGTTTCTAAACTTATGCTTCCTTGGCCTCTCTTTTTGTAAAACCAAAAATGATCCTTAGTGTGCCGCTGTCAAAAATGCAACCTTGCCTCTGAAGAAGTTTCTACTTTTTTTCCTTTGGATGTGCGATCTTCAAAACAATGGAACAGATAACATCATATGATGTTACATAGGCATGCTCTGATTTTCCCGTGAACGGACAGCACTGTAAAATGACCCCTTTTAAATTTAAAAATTGTGTGGTCTAAGTGTTTCCTTCTGTAAACAGGGAAACTGGGATTCAGATCTGCGCTACTCATACATGTGATGCTTTGGATGCTGGGAATGTTGGGACCAAAATTTCCCTCTGGTGGGAAATTGAAAAGTTGGTAGTTTCCACTCGTGAAAAAAGTCTGTGTGCAGTCCTGCCAGGTGCTGTAGCGACTAATACAATTCAAGGGAAGTATGGGAGAAAAGTGTCAACATTGCTGTATTTTTTTCCGGTCACTATAACAATTCATGACCTTGGAATTTCTCATTTGCTTCTAGCAACGTTGTGCAAACTTTTATGTCTTAGCTTCTAGGATGCATTTTTAATGTATGTCTGCGTGCTTTGCTATTTCCAGTGCTGGAACAGTGTTAGAGAGGAAGATTCTACCTTCACTGGAAGTACCTATGTGGTAGGGCAGGTGTTTCCAAAAATAGCTTATTCGGGAGTTACCAGCGGATGTGGAGTTAGCAATCTGGAGCTCCATGGCAGTCTGTGCAGACATGCACTAGAAGACAAGCTGCCAGCTCTCTTCACTGACTCTCTTCGATATGATAGTAATGTTGTTTTGCTCTGCAATAGGCAGCCATTGATAAGTGGCCCCCCCCCCCCCCCCCCGCCAAAGACCAGGGATGGTCTGTGGTAGAGGGGTTCCCTGTGGAAAGTGAACCATTTTGAAGTGAAGTGAAGTGGCTCCTATACCACTTGCGTATGGGTGATAGTTTGAGTTGTCTGTGGTAGGGCTCTCATGTATCCTTTGAATTTTGATTATGCTTTTCATTTTCAAAACTGAAGGTAGGCAAGAAAAAGCTTGATCTCCGTACCAGTGAATATTGAAGTTTTTGAGCTCTTTTGAAATGCTCACTTCCATGGTTTCAGCTATTTGTCATTACAATATGAATTCTTCTTTTAGGCCACTAATATCTCTGAGAATACTAAAACTCTTGCCTTTGTAAGAAATTCTCTTTATTTCAGGTACTTAAGCTTGCTGAGGATTTGAAATATATTTCCTTTTAATAAGAGCTATCAAGAAGCAATAGAAATATTTTGCTTTGTGATTTGCAATGAATGATCTCTGTTGTTGAGAAAGATTGTTATTCTGATACTGTCTGTTTTCTTGAATTAAGCAAATCAACTAAGTGTGTAGTGGTCACTCATCTAAGGGAGCTGACAGTTGGATGTTTAAATTCTGCAGAGATTATGAACCCATGTCTCTAATAATCAAACTGCCTGATACTAATAGAGGTGAGGTAAAATATTTTCTTAACTACCTTCTCAGTCTTTTCGAGGTGTTTATTTCATTTTACAGAGAAATACTTACAGTTACTTTTTGTCGTTTTAAGAAGATACGGTTCTTTTTGTGCATTTACACTGTTTATTTGTAGAAAGCATTAATACACATTGTTATCAGCTTTGTTTGCTCAAAACGATAGTTCGAAAGTGCTCTTTGGAAAAAGGAGTGATCCAGCAGCTCTGGGGTTGCCCATGATAATTACAGGGAGGAGATGAATAACCTGATCTTGTAAACATATGCAGGCAACGTAACTTCTTATTATTTTTTAATCTGGGTTGTGAACGTGTCATGTGTAGTCTCTGTAGAAGCTGATAATTCACCAGAGATCATGAACTGAGAAGTAAACAAGACAGCAGTTTGATGTCTTAAAATCTTCCCTCCCTTCCTCACCCTTAGCTAGTTCTGGCATTGCAGAGTAGCACCCTCTCAGCTGTGCCAGCAGAATTATTTGTAACACAGCAAACTAGGTCAAGGGATGGATCCACCTTCAGAAGGTACAAGCGGAAAGTTTTAAGGTTGGCAGCAAGCAGTGAACGAGGATCTGAAGCCAATGTGGCCACAGATTACGTTGTATTATGAACCCAAGTTCATCAGTCAAGACTGGGTGAAGGCAGGTAGATGAGATACTGATTTTACTCCTAGAGCAGCGGTAGCAGCTGTGGGTACTGCAGCCTGTACAGAGTTAACAATGGCACGTACGTTTCTGTGCCAAAGCTGGATATCTAAAGAGAGGTGGGGATCGGAGTCACTGAGACCGCATTGTACAAGAAAGGGTAATCCAAGTTGCAATAACCTTGTTGCTTACCTGAACAGAGGATACATATGTTAACTGTGATGGGAATTACTCCAAAAACTAGATGATTGGCTTTCAAAGCTGATAAATGCCACAACTGGAAATAAAATAGAACTGTTTCCTGGAGGATGAAACTGGAGGGTGCTTTGCTAATCAGTGTGGTCCCACCTAAGACTGGAGTGCTGCCCTGAGGAAGGGCAACGTCGAATGAGCCGGAGCAGAGGAAACATGGCCTCGGCACGGTGCATCAGCACTCTGATGTAAAAAAGAAAGGAGGCAGGTAGAAAGGCAGCCAGTTGTTAAGCTCCATTACTATTGCATTTATGCTTCTTTTACTTGGGAACTTAGTGGAAACCTTAGTGGAAACTTAGTGAAAATCCTGACCTGAAGTCCTGTTGAATATATCTTACTTTGTTTTGTGCTTGGTGCTATAGTGGGGAGAAGAGTGAAATTAGAGTGAAAGTGCCAAATTAAGAATTTACTGGGGTCTTAGAGATAGCAAATATTTAAAAAAAAAAAAAAAAGGGGGGGGTAATTGGGAACAGATGCCTTTCAGGGACCATTATGGTACTGAGGAACAGGTCGCAGGTGTTTCCTAGAGCTTAAGTAATATATTTCTAGCAATGTTGGGAAGGCACATGTTGCTGCAGACACCGGTGAACTCTCCTCCTGCAATGAACTGAAAGGCATCTCAGTTAATGCAGAAGTGCCCTAGAAGGCTTTTCAGAGTTTTCGCATGCTGTGAACAACTACAAAGGTATTTTTTGCAGAGTTAAGTATAAATGAATACATGTATTCTGCAAATAGGGATTGGAATGTCCAAAGTTCAGTGTTTCAAGCTAAGGTGTTATTTTCGCAGTGAGTGCAGCTTGTTGGGCAAACGAGACATGTTCTCATCCATCTTACAAACTCTATGTATTGCTTTAGGTTGTTTTGTGAAATACAGCTGAGAGTAGGGATGTCTCCATGTTGGTATGCTGGAAGGTATAAAGGAAGGCATGGTTACGTGTATTGGATTACATGGTAGAAAGAAGATCCTGCTTGAATGGAAAGGTATCTTTTTTCACTCATCTAGTTTCTAGGATAATAGTTAAGATTATCACTGGATTTCAAGGGCTGCTTCATTTGTGGGGGGAAAAAAAAAAAAAAACCCTACAGCAAAAGCAACAAAACCTTTCTGTTTTGCCTGCTTAGATTACTTCAGTATTTCATAGGATGAATATTCTTTCTGTTTTTTTTTAAAACAAGTTTGTCCTAAGCCAGATCTTAATGCAAAAGTCTTGGACTAAATGCCTGAAGTGTTTTCTCCGGAGAAATTTTACTCTTAAAAAAATATGTATGTGGTTTTTTTCTTTTTGTTTGTTTGTTTGTTTTTTTTAAAGGATCATACAGTAAAGTTTTTTTTTTAATTATAGACTGGGATAGCTTGCCTATTTTCCTGTGTATTAGGTTTTAATAATAATTGGTAATATTCGGACCTCTGCACTTCTCACAATAACTAATCATCTTAAACATAATGCAGTAGTGCAGCTGTGATAAACAGGGAGTTAACTTCTTCATTGACAAAGTTGAAACAAGGCTTTATGTTCTGGTCTGGTCTAAAAAATCCATTCTGGACTAAAAAGCCAAAAGCATTAGCTTTTAGATAAGTCCTTTTTGTATTGCTTATTTGATTTATCAATTCTGAAATATTTAAATATGGGACTGTAATGAATTGCAGAGTGCAGAGAGCACTTGCAGAAGGAAACCTGGTTTGTCACAATCTGACTGTCCCTGAAACATAACTAAAAATACATCTTCTTGCAACTCATATTGGGTGAGAAAATGAAAGAGGACATAGTACAATAAGAATTCTCATTATTTTGTCCTCTGTTGGATCAGAAGGCTGAATGATAAAGATATTGAAAAAGCCCATCTTCTGTAGACAAATGTGGTAATAGCTTGTTTTAGATCCATGAAATGTTAAAATATCAAAGATCTGTGAAGAATGCTACAGAATAGCTGTATATCATGCTTACTTCATTCTGTGAAAAAAATTGTCTTTGTAATGGTGGTTGCACTTGGGTTACACTTTGGTAGACGAGAACAACAAATGAAGTTAGACTTTTGGGAAGGCAGTCAAGCTGTTTTTAAGCTTCTATTGGTTTATGCAGAATGAGCTGAATATATGGGAATCTCTGTATTAAATTACATTTTTATCCAATGCAATGAACTTTACCACTGACAGTTTTGCAGAGAAAATTCTGAAAACTAATGTATTGTAACTGCAACGTTTTGAGAGGGAGGAAAGGGGGATTCTACGCTATGCTCAGACTCAGAATAGCAGCTAGCAACACCTTGAGGTAGGTAAAGACCTCCATGGCTCCATCATATTCTGATAAAAGATATTTTGCAGATAGTTGGTCTGTATTTTGGAGATTTTTGGTCTGATCGACGTTCAGACGTTACAAAGTCATTGTGCTGCTCCTTTTGCCTTAGGAAAGCTTTTTGTGTTTTTCATTTCTTTTTTTTTTTTCCCTATAGTAAATCCAGGTAAGAGGATGGCAAAAGAGAACTTATTAGGGCTATAATTACTTAAACCGTGGCTAATGTTGTAGGGAGGCATATAGCAGACTTACTGGTTTCCAACTGGCAGCAATTAGTTTGGCTCAGATACGTTGTTAAACCTTGCCGCTTCGAAGTGAGTTCGAATTTGTGGCTCTTCGTGATGGTGTAAGCTATAAGACCACGTACGTTGCTTCTATTGTATTGAAGCAAAGATTAAGCAAGCTTCTGTATTTCTCCTGAACTTTCATATGAGATATTTCTCCTGGGACTCTCTTGCTGAGTACAGTTTTAAATAAACAAACTAATTCATTTATTAAGGTCATTTTCTTAGATCTGGTTGTTTGTTTTTTGAAAAATTAGAGGGAGCAGACTAGATTTCTAGTCTTCACTTCCATGTAGGAAAGGAGACTGTGCCTGCGGCAGCTTGGTGGCTGTAATATTTATTGCGTACAGCAGGGTTTTTGTTCGTTCATAGGTAGCTCAAACAAAGTAGTACTCCTGTAAACAGAAATGTATAATTAAAAACCCACCTCTCACAGTATTTGTTTTCGTGCAGATGCTGTAATACATGGGTTCTCGTATGTTTTTTTCCTTCCTTTTTAAAACAATGTAAATTATGATTTCTGGAGAACAAAAGAGAGACAAAGTTGCTTTTGTTATTGATTTGTCCAGTTGGACTTGAATACGTGATAAATGGCTTTTTTGTGCAACTGGAGTGCAGCAGTTGAAGGAAGTTCTTGTTCTACATTAGTACTGATTTTGCGGGGGGAGGGGAGAAGGGAGAAGCAAGCAACAACCCGAAGCTATGGTATTTGGGGATACAGAGGACTGTATCATGTATTGAGTGTTTGTGGTTTGAATGTTTATATCTTAAAACAGTATATGATGATGACAGCACAGTCCGAACAGTACTGAACTAATATATTGTTTCTTACTCGCTGAGCTGCTTTACAAAACTGAGAAAGTTGGGTTTGTTTTGTTTTTTTACAGTTCCACTTGCAGTAATTTTTTTATAATGCTTATTTTTGGCATTATTTGTGGCTGTTGTGTGTCAATAATTATGTACAATTTTGGAAATAAGTGTTAAGTATTGTTGCTATTAAAATACGTATTATGGTGATTGTAGCAGCTCCTGCATGCATCTAGTAACTCTAAAAGTTGCTGTGCTGAACTATATAGCTGGCAACTTTATTTTAACCATGCACAATCACCGTGCGTTTACTTGCAACCTGTTATAAGACAAATTTGAACTGTATTCCTATTGTTATGGAATTCTGAAATGTTATTATATTTCATCTAACAGACTTTCCAGGCTGCTATCAATCAAGTGTTTCCTGCAGAAGAGGACAGTAAAAAGGATGTGGAAGATAACTGTGAGTTATGTATTTAAACACTAAGTACTTATTTGAAAATGAATTGTGTTCAGGAGAGAACGTATAGCTTCCTTACCAGCTCCCTATTTCTTCCTTGCAGTCTTTTCATTTTGTTTCTGTGCTTGAATTTGTGTATGAACATTAAAACTTCTGAAGTAAGCCCATTTTTAAGAACTTGCCCATATAATTTATTGTGGCCTTTTTCATTTTCAGATGAGCACTTACAAGGAACTCATGGTTGCATTATTCCCACATGCAGCTGCTATTTGACTTATTTCAGATACACATCAGATGTTACTAACTGCAGCATGCATGATCAACTGCATGCAGCATTATGGGACTGACTAAATCTTTTGTAGTGCAGCAAAAAAATTAGTTGCTTCTTTATCAGCAACTGTACTATACTGTATTTTCCTGTGTGTAACCTACGTTTTGGATTGCATTCCTTTGGAGGTACAGGTAGTTGCAAATAAATTGTAAGATAACCTGCCCAAAGCTGGAGTAGAGTACAGACCCATCAGGGCCGTTGCAAGAGGAAACAGGATATAGTCAATGCAAGAGTGGTTCTGGAGAAGGAGTTTTGAGATGAACTTATATAACCCACATCGCTGTTAACATCACTGGTGTTTTTATTTTGTTAGATATTTTATGGATTAGATTTGTGAAAACAAATACCGTATTCGAACCTGGGGAGAGGAGAGAGAGAGAGTACCACGAAAGAGCAATAAACTAGCAGCAGCTTTTAGACCACTCTAAACAAATATTTTGCTATCGTTGCTCTGTGTGAACAAATCTGTTTACAGAGATTACTGTATCTTGACGACCTTATGAAGGAAATTGTCTTTCCCATTTGTTTCCTGTGGGATTTACTGGTTGGCCAAAATATTGATTACCTTCTAAATGCTGGGCAAAAGCACCTTCTCTTGTTCTTCATTTAAAATAAATAGAGCGTAGGACTTCAAAGTTGTTTAGATGATTTAAGAACCACAGTTCCTATTGTGGAATAGGCTATGGTATTTATGTCCCATGACAGGAAGTACAGCTGGTCTGTAATGAACAGGAAAATGAGACCCGAAACTTACGATCTGACTTAGATGGATAAGAAACAAAGGGGGGTGTTTTCTAGCTGATGGCCTTTTTCCAGTTACATACGTTTTTGTAAACATTATGCAAGTTGAAACTTTTCAAAGTTGATATATCTGTTTATCTGTACGTAACAATTATTAGGGAAATGCATTGAATTTGTGCATCTGTCATAATGATTTCACAGAGGCGTCCTAGCACCTCACTAACTTGGCAGGGATTTGAAATTTGAAATTAGATTATGGGAATAAGTTGGTATTTCAGCGAAGTAGTATTCAATTAAGCTAAAATAGTCTTTATCAGAAATAATTTCTTCTTTGGCTTCCTGGCTAAAATATAAAACTGTTCTGGCCTGTCATCCTTTCTGTATCAAATATTACTTCTGGGCTTTCAGTATCTTCATGCTTTTTAGTCAGTAATTGAGGTTCATCTCCAGGATAATATAAAACCCAACTTCACTTCCTTCTCTGTCAGAGAGGATTTATGCTGGCATCATCGATCTTTAAGGAGAACAGAGTACACATAAATCTCTAGGAAATTTTATAAAATACTGTGTACTCTCAGTCTCTCCTTACAATACTGTTCTGAAAAATACTGAAAAACTAGTTAATATATTTACCATTCCAGCCCATGCTTTAGTGATTAACTCTTTTCTAGGGAGTAATTTGCTGATGCATAGAGGGTTGTTTTTTTTTTTTTTTTTTCATTCTTAGTCTTCCGTATCCCTAATGGCTGTAGCATCAGCTGCAAGAGATGCCTTTGTAAGAGTCTAGCCCTTCCTCAAAAGTGAATTTTCAGTAAATATTGCAAACAGTACTGAGACAAAGCATTTAACTTTTTTGTGATTCGCTCTTCTAGTTGTTGGGGGTTGTTATTGTGTTAGCTACCAGAATGAAGTCAGGGATATGCTCTTGTACTGTGAACAACTTGCTATGAGAACTCTTTGGCAGCGATTTGCCGTCATGCATATAAAGCATAACAGCTTGCTGCCGCTGCCCGAATTCCTTCTGCTCAGTAAGATTTTTAAGGACTTGTTTCTGCCAATTTAAGGATAGGTAATCCTGCCGAATTAGCCTTCAGTTTGTCTTAGTTTTGTATAGATATTATTATTGGATTAGGGACAAATATGGAATTTTTATTTTTTATGGTCAAGAAAAAACATTTTAATTTTGAGGTAAAACAAGTTTAAAAAAATGAGGATAGGGTATCAAATGCGAATCTTAAAAATTTGTTGTATAGATGCTGAACCTTGTATACATGATTAAAAATATATATTTTCTGTACAACTTTGTGTCATTGTGTACACAAGAAAGCCAGTGTGAGTACATCTAACATTGATATTCCTGACTTTGAGTCAGGATAATTCCTTTATCAAGGACTGGCATCCTTTTGCTAAGAGAATATTGGGGACACATCGAAACTTGGCGTCATTTATTGTTTGGATAATTATTTTAGTTTTTATTAGCATGCTTAAGTGATGACCACTTCTGTTGAAATACACTGCAAACTCGGAGAAGTTCTTGCAAAGACCCAGTCAAAGGAGAGGATTGTTCCCTTTGAATTTCAAGTGTATGCAAACTACTATTATAAAATAATTCCTTAACTTTCGTTAGAGCAAGCACAAGTTTCTGATCCTGGCTCGTTTCCTTTTAATGTCTTTTTTTTGGGACGACCTTATTAAAAGAGGTGAAGGAAAAAATACGTCTGTCAAAGGAGACCTGCAATTTGTGGTTTTAGAGCCGTTTTCTCAGGCTTGTGGACTTTAATCCGTGGGCAGGTCCTTAATGCCTGGGAAAGCGAGGAGGAGATGGCAGGTGGGCAGTACCTGTATGCGAGTGCTTGTGTGGTGCACGCATCCCGAGCCCGAAGTGCCTGGAGCGACCACACCGTTGATGTGCAGTAGGTCTGGCCAGGTGGCAGAGCAAGGGCTATGGTGATCGGTGCTGGCCTGACACTGCATGAAGGAATTGGAGGCAGGCCCGATGTTAAGGGTGTTGTGGTCCAAAAGGAGATTCTGCGTAGCATCAAGCAAAAGCGTGCCTTTGCATGCCTCACCTTCAGACAATGTAGGCACGTATGCACGAGGGATTTTTTATGGAGGAAGGTGGTTTCTTCTAAACAACCTGGAAAGTTGCAAGGTCCTTTGCGAAACGTGTCTGACCCTAGCTGTTTGAAGTAAAGCTATATTTAGTTACGTAAAGGAAGGAAGTGCTATTACTCAGTGGTGCTTTGCAAGCTGGGGGGAGGCTGCAAATAGTTACTGAACCTGCTTTTGCTTCAGGCTAGTCTGGTATACGTGGTAGGTGGCAAAGCTGCTCCTTGTTCCACTGCAGAAGGACGTGTGTAACATTAAAAGAGAAAACACAGATGCTTTTGAAAAGCTCCCGTTATCCCTTACCAGTATCTTTTGGTTCAGTGGAAGGAGCATAAAGGAGAAGCTAAGAGCAGCTTACTCAGCTTCAGGCTTCCTTGTTGGATGAGAGGCCTGAGAAGATTGACTTTAGGTGATAAGAATTGACAGTCTTTCTTGCACACCTGTGTAAATAAGTTAGCATACAATTTTCTCTGCCGTAGCCCTTGAAAGGGCTTTGATTCCCTTGTCCTGAATTCAGAAACAGCATTAGCTTTCCACAGTTTGGTTACTGTGGATTGGAAATGCGTATATGACCTTTATGTGAGGTAGGAAGTAGGAGTTATAACTAAAAGCACAGTGTTAATTTTGTTTAAAAAAAAAAAAAAGAAAAGAAGTATAGAACTTTTTTTTTATTTTCTTTTAAGTGCTGTGAGTACTTCAGGGTTTATCAGTATGTTAGTCGGTTCGTTGTAACAAGACAAAAAAAATTGCATTCGAATTTCAAGCGGATAGAAAGAGGATTGAACATATTTGAAAACTGAGGCTGTGGAGTAAGTAGTGCCCTCAGTAGGTTTAGGAATAATGTTTTGAATATTGTTACAGTGGGAGCTGGTAATGACCTTTGTAATTAAGGCTGCTTAACACTTTCCGGTGTTTTATAGCTGAAAACAAGGACTAGCTTTGCCAGAACGTTAATCTGCAAGGTCTGAAACTTTCTGTGTGTGCTTGCTCTCTGCCTTGCGCTGCCTTTTGCTAACATTTCAGCAATGTTAGTTCAGTTATTTTACGTTCACAGACTTAAACAAAAATAGCTAGGTTTTGTTGTGTTAACTTTTTTTTTCTAACAGTTTCTTTGAAGTGGAACAAAGTTCAGAAATGAGACTTAAAAGGTTGCATTGGTACCTGATGTCAGAATGACACCTATTGCTGCCTCTAGAAAATACTCATGGAATCCATAATACAACATCTAAAAATCACCCAGAACAAGCAGTTAGATGGTATTATTCCGTGCACATCATTGCAGAGACTACAGAGTTGGAAGGAAGAAAGCAGTGTTATGGATTTTGATAGGCATGGAGGGAAGTGCACTGTGCTCATCTGAAAGGCTGTTAAAAGAGAGCTTCAGACTTACCTCTTTCACAGGGTCTGTGTTGAGACCTCTATCGTCTAATTCCACGTTCAGCAACTTTTAACTACTGTTGTACAACGTACAGTGAAACCTTTTAAAAATACTTTTTAAGTTCTGCTTCTGGAGAGTGTGAAGAAATGATAGGATTAAACTGTAACCAAAGAGAGGGAAAGCAAAACTAAATTTTAAAAGGCTAAATTCTAGTTGCCTGGCCATACACTAAGGTAGTCCTGAGTTCTTAACTCTCTTATGGTTGTCTTTTAATTGCAGGTTCCCTTATGTACTTAAATGAAGCCACTCTCCTTCACAATATCAAAGTTCGGTACAGTAAAGACAGAATTTATGTAAGTATTGCATGTCGTGTCAAACCGTCTAATGGTAAAAATCCTTTCAAAAAAAAACCTCAACTCACAAAAAACATGTTTTTTGTTCTTTTTGTTCAATCATGGAGAGTAAGCAGAAATGATAACTCTGGGACTTAGGAGGTTTTAGGCCTTTTTGGAACACCGTACCTTGACTGTTTAGTTGCGACTAGAGCGTAGCATTACATCACAGAAGTGCGTTCCTACAGGTAGCTTGCTCTGTCAGGAGAGAGCCTGTTACCAAAGATGGTTCCCTTTCTTCATTATTTTTGAACGAAGCAAACAGGTGCCTCCTTTGACACCTCCTAGCTCAGATGTCCATCTTAATCTTTTATATTGCTATCAAATTGCCTAATTGTACTTAATGAATTCTGACTAAATTACATTTTGTCCTTGCCATCTGCCCTGACACTGACAGCTGTGAAGTGGAAGAAAGATAAGTTTTCTTTTCTCTCTGTTTCTCTCTCTCTCTTTTTTTGGTTAATAGAAAGCCGGCTACTGATAATAAATGATGTTCCTTCATGTTTTCTAAGCATCAATGTTAAGCTAATCTACCCTTGTGTTACCACGATGTTCTGTAGTGTATTGATTTAGAGTTAAACTCATTTGTGTGTCTGTGTGTATATACAAAGAAAGTGTATTTGTTTTGCCTTGTTTTGGTTAACTTTACACAGCTATAAATTCTTTATGGGATCAAGATCAAGCATCATCTTTAAAGTAAAATAAATAAACATGGCCATTTGAATATTGTTCTGGAAAAAGCAAAAAAAAAGAACAACAAAACCAAAAAACTCAATAAAATAAAATTCTAAAACTGAAGTAATCATTCCCTAGAATAGTACTTAGCTTCATAGAGCCTTCCTTCATTTTAAAGAAATGCAACTTAAGTTACCCTGATTTGAGAGTGTTTTCTAAAAAATAATAAAAAACTCGATTTGTATCTTAACTGTCTTTCCCTTTTAACTTTAAGATACCATTTGAGTCAACATTTTTTTGCCTTTTTAGTGCTCGTTAATAATATTTTTGTGTTATCAAGAGGGAAACTAATATTAGAACTTGCAGCTTTTGAAGAGCTCTGTATATTTTTTTTCTTTCAGTGAAATAAATGGTGAGAATAGAAGTACTTAAGAAAATTTGTATATGGTGTGTGGTCCAGCCTTCTATCAACATGTCATGATAGCATCCAAATTTCAGTCGTCTTGGGATATGATGATCTCAGTAACAACAAACCAAAAAAGTTATGGAAGCTGAAGGTTTTTGTTGTTTCTGAGGGCCCTTTCCTGCAAATCTGCTTTTTTTTAATGCTTCAGACATCTAACTGTCCTTATATGTCATCTGATCATTATAACCAAATCATGAAAGTTTTTCAGAAACCTTAGAAAACTTACCCGTTGTTATCCTTGTTCTGCAGAAAGAGAAAAAGCAGTCTTGCTTTGAGATTTTTCTCGAACTCCTCCTCTATTAGAGAATATTTGTATTCTGTTTCTCACTGTGGAACCAGCCATAGCTAATTTCTCTCAACTGAATGCTTTTATTGCCT